GACATAATTTCAGACACACGTGTCAGCTATTTTTGCGGCACTTTTTTCTGTATTTTAAAATTAGTTGTTTTGTTCGTGTCGCTTGCTGTGCCATTCGTAGAGTGCGAGTACAAATTCCAGACTAAAACAGAATACATTGACGTAGAATCTGAATTCTTGTTTCCGAAACAACGAAATGCAACTGGTTACATGTCGCTAGTTCAAACGAATGGATGAAGCTAATTACAGTATTAGGCGGCAGTTTGAACTTGAAAGGCAACGAGCACGCGACAAGGCGGCTAAATGAATGACTGAATGACTAACTGGCTGACTGACTGAATATCTGAATGGTTGACTGAACGTCTGTTCATCTGTCTGACCGACTAAAAGTTGTTCTACTCTCCGTGTTCGCCTGCTTATTTATTGGCGCCACATTTACACCAAATAGCATGGCCAGCTGTTTATATAGTAAGCTATTTATAGTTGGAGCGCTGCAATTTTAATTTGCTATTCCGTTTTATCAAGCAAAAAACTAATTTATGGGCTCTCGCGTTTACAAATACGAGTACTCGTACAATCCCGTATTTTGCTCGCCAGCTCACTTTTTATACCCTGTACCCAAAGGGTGAAAGGGTATACTAGTTTTGTGCGAATGTATGTAACAAGGAGAAGGAGGATAGGAAGAATTTACATATATACTTGGGCGGTCTGACAAACTATATATATTCTTGATCTGGATGACAAGACGACTCTATATAGCCATGTCTGTCTGTTTGACTGTATGAACGCAAGGATTTCAGAAAGTATAAGAGCTACAATAACCAAACTTGGCATCCAGATTCTCCTAAGTCCGAGGAAGTACGAGTTTGAGTTTTTTTCGATGCGCCCCCCACTCCCCTGCAATTCGTGCTTTTTCCATAACTCCCGTAATTTTGGGAATTTTGAACTGAAATTTGGTATTACACGATTCTGATGTAAATTTATTCTATTGAAATTGTACATAAACAGTTATGTATGTATGCATTTGTTGAATATTTTATATTTATATAATTTTAATTAATTGATTAAATTATTTAAATTTTTTAAATAATTTTTTTTTTTTAATTTTCCCCTATTGGTGTAGAGTACAGGGTATTTTACTGTCGGGCTTGCTCGACTGTAGCGTTCTAGCTTGTTTTTACTATCGCAACGTTTTTACCCTTCTACGAACCAAATTATTGCTCAGTGGGGAATATTTGAACACTAAATACTTAAGCATATAATAGAATTCAAGTATATACACACTGGTACATACGTATTCAAAGTGCATGAAAGCTAAGCGTCAATGAACCATGAAGCATTTTTTGAAATGCAAATTACTGGCGATTACTTTTTATATTCAATCGAAAACGGACATTATTATCTAAAATTTCGTTTTCTTAATCATCTTGAGCTCACGTGGAAGCTGTAATCTTGATTGGAAGTGGAGCATTATAAGCTCAGCAGTATTACAAATATTATGATATATTATTTATACTATTTATGATATTAATGATAAATAGTAATTTATAAAAGCAATAAGAAATTTTGTGTCGCATCGACAGCAGAACACTGCAGTGACAGTTATTCTTAAAAGCGACATAGAAGCTGCTACATTGGATTCAGGAATATATTATTGTCACCGCTAGAAGAGTACAGATATATAAGTAATGCTCATCTATAGTCTGGGAGGGTGTTACAACTCAACTGGAAAAGTTTGGATAGCTGGTATAGAAGGAAAAAAATTCTAAATAAAATAAAAAATGGTCGGAACTGCTTGAATTTCGCTTAGATGGAATATTCGCTACTTAATAAATAACATGCTAATACAATGTACTTCAAAAATTGATATAGTTAGGCCTAAATAAGTATATAGTATATATATTACTCATCTTAGCCATGCTGATCATATCTCCGCCAATACATTTAAACGACCTTCACAGAATGTGATTCTGACTGAACGACGACCTCGATTCAATACAACAAAGCAGCGAAACAGCTTCTCCTCATGTGGAATTGATTAAAAATATTAAAAAAATCGCAAATTTTATTATTTTTAATCAAATAAATGATCAACTTTTGTATCACAAAATCAAATCAAAGGCAATTTTGCTCGCGTCTCTGTTAAATTTCAGACACTGTTAGTTAACATCAGCACTTCAGCTTTCGCTCGCATGCGCAAAGATGGCGCCACCATCACAAAACACGTATACGCACTGTTGTGCAGGCAGTTGCGCAGAAGGGAAACAAATGGCAGAGCTTGTTATTTTAATTTGCATAGAATTCAACTTTTTGCTCAATTTAACAAAACACTTAACTCATTTACACAAATCAATTTGAATGCCAATTACCGAATTTAAACAATTTATGGCTCTCAAATTGATAATAAAATCAAAAATTGCCGCAAAAAAGGACAAAAGCACTTGTTTATAGTACAGAATAGTACACAATATACTATACTACCAAATATTTATACCTTGCGGTTTGTAAACACATGTATATGTTTTTATTTGCACATTGTTTTTGATTTTCACAAATTTACAGCTTCCTCATTAAATTCAATTTCACGTATCGTCGCCATGCGCTGTGACACTGATTTTTAGCAATTTATATGCTGCACTTTGTTGTTATTGCTTTGCTTATAGTAACTGCTAATGCTAGTTTTGTTGTCGTTGTTGTTGTTGTTGTGGCAGCGCACGTGTGAGTATAGTGCTCAGATCAGATCAGATAGTGGGATATATAGGAAACAATAACGTGCAACAAATTCTCGCCCAACAATTAACGTGAGCTTGCGGGGGTTGAGTGAGCACTGAGCTCAACAAACAATAATATAAACGCTTGCCATAAATGTAAAAGATTGACGTCCGTCCGTTCGTCCAAAATGGCGCCCGCGCCCAACTAATGCCGCAGCGGGCTGCTGGCTGCTGGCTGCTAGTTGCTTTGTTTTTGATTTTGCACAAAGTAGTAGTCATTACAATGCTGTTGTTGTTGTTGTTTTTTTTGTTTTCTTTTGCAAACTGTGCTTTATACTCTATGCATGTGAATAATTTACATATGCGGGCGGACGCTGATGCTCAGAATCTCAGTGGTTAGTTGTTAGTTGTTTCTGGCGTCTCTCAGCAAGTAGTTGCATTTTTGGTTGTCGATTTTCGTCTGTGTTTGTCGGCCGCGGCTGCTGTCACTTTTGCCCATTTGAGTGCGAGCGGGCAACGACATACTTGTACGTTGGCATTGGCTGACAGGTCGCGTACATTACCGGATCACAATATTACGGTACTCGGTTCGATTGGTTTAAACTTGCTCTTCTTTCTGTTGCTGCTGCTATTGTTGGTGTTGTGCTATAAATCTGGAGCTGCTGGTTAACTTAATTCTGACCAATTGGCATAACTGGTGTATGTGGCCAACGATTTTGTGTAATTTCCCCAGCACGACACCTAGACTTCAAGCTGACTACCCCAGCTGTTCCCACCGGAAAACCGCCTTTGCCGCCGCGCAAACGCATCGAACAGGATCCAGCACCCTTGCACGAACTGAGCAGCCTTAACTCCACGCATGTTTGGCGCCGAAACAGCAACACCAACAACAGTAGTACTAGATCGAGCACACGTGAAACGCGTCTATCGAGTGCGGCGCTCAGCCGTCATAAGTTCAAAATGTCGCTCAAGCGTGGCGGTCCGCCACCAGCACCTTCGACCGGTGCTGGCATAATGATGACAACATCGTTGTGCGCCATTAGTGTGGAACTGTCGCAGGTGGGCAGCTTCCGGGTGGCTAAATGGCGCCTAAATAAGTGAATACACTTACAGTAAACGCTAAGAAGTTGACCAAAGAGCTTATAATCTTTGAATGAAACAAAATGAGAGGGATAATACAAAAGGTTGGACAGTTTGAATAGAGTGCTTTCATAAAGCCTGCAAAGAAATATTCTGTTAAAAAATGTAAGAAATCTATAACTTTTATCTGCATTCGTAACTGTTTAGGGTTAGGAGAAAACATTTTGCAAATTTAAATACGCTTTTTTTAAATTTGCAAATTGTTTCGGTTCTTATCTGTAGTATTTTATACTGTTTTTATCAGGGATTTAAATATATATGTTAAAGCAGCGACACTTTACAACACTTTTTAGAAAACGAACAAACGATTGGTGTATTTCGAATGCGACGAAAAATATTCGGAGCCGAAATTCTAATAAAGACTTGATTCGGATTCAAAAGTTTTAGAAATAGCACCGTACTCTTCTTAAATCAATATTTCTTGGTATTCTAAAATAATTGAGGCTGGATATTTTATTAAATAATAATTATATATTATATTAAAATATTAAATTTGGCACCCAAAGATGATAAACCGCCTAACAGGAAATTGTTATCGACTCGGAAAGTGAACGTATCGAAATCGACTTCGAAAATGGAAAACGATTGGCATTTTATTCGGCAACGGTATTTGCGTATTTGAATTCACTTTACTGTTTGAATTTTTCGAAAATGGAGACAAGTTATGAGTCGCAAAAGATGATGGAGTTAACTGAAAATCTGTTGTTAGCTATAAGCAGGTTCAACTGTATGTACGTTCATACGATGCGTGTTGCCAAAAAGTTTCACGCTATTACGCATTTCTGTTTACCTAAACATTTCGCATACCTGCTGCAGCAAAAAACATTCGACTTTGTGAACACACGTTGTGAAGGTCAATAGTCGCCTCCATCATCAGTTGCATTTAGAGTCGAGTCCAGAAAAGTGCAGCCAAACACTTGAGAATTGGCATGAGGATGAGATGAGGAGATGATCTGCTGATTTACAGATCTGTGCCATAAACTGCATTTATCTTGTTTGTTTTTCGCTCTTATTTCTTTTTTCTTGGCAGCTGTTGGCAAAATTTGTACATTCTCCCCGTGCTCTGGCCCCATTTATCTTTATGTGTTTATATCTGACTATTGATTCGATTTTACATTTCTTACATTTTCTTTGCTCTCACGCTCTCCCTTCTCGTTCTCTATCTTGCAGAAAATACCCACTGTTGTGACGGGCTATGATAACGAGAAGCATAACGGCAGGAATAACGCGAACATAAGTCAACCAAAGTACGTCTATTTACCTTTCAGTGTTCTACTTATGCTAATGCTAACATTAGTCTAGCGCGGTCTATCGCCACTATCACAACTAATACGATTTCTTCTTTTCAACTATTCAACACTGCACAAAACATTTTCTAATTTTGCTCTTGAATAAATTAATAAAACGGTCGACCCCACATAATAATAATAATAATTATATTAAATACATAATTACAATTTGCTTACGAGCAATGTACAAAAATATCGACAATGAATCCTCAACCACAATGTTTGAAATGTATACTTCTTCGGATAGATTCATACGGTCGGACATGGCGGATGTACCGGTACAGCAGGCGGCAGGCTCCACACTGCCATTGGTGATAACGCGTAAAAAAGGCGGCGACGATTCGGAGGATGTGAATTATAATCCATTCGAGCACCGCAAGGTCGAGCATCCAACATCGTAAGTATTCAAAATCTAGTTGTGGGGTGGATAATTGAAAAATGCTAAAAGGGATTTGATGATTATTTCAGTAATCATAACTATAATTGTTCTTTCATATTGTTGTAAAAAGGATTAGAAATTGTAGGAAAAGAAAAAGGCTAAGAAATGTTTTACAATATCTGGGAAACATGGTTACAAATATATTATTGAAATAGATGAGAAAAGTAAATCAAACATGTTTTGAGTCGGCCTTAAATACAGGACTAATAAAAGAGAAAACTTTTTTAAAAAGCATATAGGGGCCAAAATAATTTTTCTTTGGCATTCATCAGCTGTTTATTTGTTAAGCCTTCAGAATTGAATATTTTAAGAAAGAAATAAGGATGATTGTCAGAATATTTTAAAAGATTTCTTTCAGCTGCCTTTTTGCTTACCCTTAGTATCATAGACTTAAAGCTCAAACTCAAATCAAGGTTGGTTTTTTTTTTCAAAATTTAATCGTGCTTATCTAAGCGAATTTTATATGTAAGGACCTGGTATTTTCCCCAATTCTTATATCTTTAAACTTAACTCATAGTCAAGTCAAATACAGAGATAGCTCGAAAAATGAAAGTAAGACTCAGGACTCTTACTCCTTCCGTAAGGAAGGAGAAATTGCATACCATTTAATGAAATTTTTGACTACACAAAATTTAAGTACATCCGATTATATAGGTGTTGGGACTCCCTCAACATCCATTTATATAAGCCGTTGTTATTTGTGCGAGAATATTCCCGATATATTTCGAATCATCAATGACTAATTAGTTGCTTGGCCCATGCCTACATCATTGAACTTTGGCTAATAGTCTTTGAATTGTACTTTGAAAATTGAACGAATTGAAAAACAACAACAACAACAACAAGAAGAAGTCCAATAGAAAATAAAACGGAAATGCAATTTTCATGAAATTCTTCTTCTATTGACATTGCCCTTGGACTTGGCGCAAATGCTTCCAAATTTAAAAATAAAACTAAAGATAAAGTAAATTTCGTAAATAAATGAAACAAAATCAAAGCGTAAAACGAGAAAACGCAACAAAACGACGAAAAACCAAAATGCTCGTACAGTGCGAGGAAAATGTCGTTGCACGATTCGTTGGCTGTGCAAAATGTGGAACGTTGTCTATTTTTGCAATAGATTGCGGTTGATGGGAGGCCGGGGTTATTGCGGGGGGTTAAGGCGATTCAACACTTTGTACGGGATGTAAATTAGCAGGCAAATAAAAAATATATATCTATATATTGGCAGCAATTGACGTTGATTTGATTAAAATGTATAGGAAACGGTCAATTAATTTAATTTTCACATGATCGTCATCGACTTTTCACATGCCTCCTCAAACAATTAAAGTACATTTCGTATTGTCGAGCACCTTGGCGCTGCTTTCTCGATTACAAAATTGAAATTTCAATGCACGGTTGGCGCCAAAAAAGAAATTATAAGAACTGTCCGAGCTTCTGCGTCAAATCAGGAAAAGTGCAGAGGCTGTCTGTTATTTTTTTGAAAATGATTTGATGCAGAATATTAATATATATATATATATATATATATTTCTTGGCAGTCGCAACTCATGGCATTATGTATGATATATGTATATTTTAATATATATTGCTGATTGCCAATAGATTGATGGATGGCGGGAGGGGGAAAGTGTGCTTAAGCTTATTAGGATATAGCACAATATAGAATAGGTAAAGGGTGAGAAAAGTAATTAGAAAGTGGATTAGGAATTTAAAGCGAAGTGAAAGCGAAACGATAATTTTTTAATAAGTAATCTGAAGTTCTTTCTTTGCTACAACAAAATGGATTCCTAACCTTAAAGCTTGCTTTTCTTGGGGTTCAAATTGTCAATTCATCATTCCAAAGGGGGATTTCATTATTAAAAAGGCATTCATCATTTGTTTCAATATTTTATACTATACTTAACTTCTTCAATATAATTCCTGGTATTATTGCTATTTAATTTCATTTCCAAGTATATACTAAGGTGTACCGAGCTGCACAAAAGGGGTTGAGCTCGGTAAGAACTGTATGCTAGTGCCCTTACTTTCTATCGACGTGGTTTGATTTTAATACTTATAATACATATAGCATATAATTACTCCGTAGATATATTTCTATGTATGTACCTATATCTTACTTTAGAACTAATAGGGAACTTTCATAATTATTTTATTTCTAATGAATGCATTATTTATGCTATAAGAGCTACTTATAACCAAATTTATTACCCGAAATTTTGAAAGCTTTTAAGAAAATGGCATTTTGCCATTTTTTCCTTAAATTCGTTATTCTATTTAGATGAAACGAATGCATTATTTTAAATAAATAAATAATTTATTTATGCTATAAGAGGCACTAATTAAGAATTTACGGGCCAACATTTTTAAAGATTTTAGAAAAGTTCCTTTTTGTCAGTATTTTGTTTCAAATCGATTTTCTATTTAGGTCTTTGTGTTAGTTTTTTATACAAACATGAAGCCTTCGAGAATATAGAGTTTCCGGTACTCCCAGCACTATTTTAATAACTATTTATAAATTAGAAATTAGTATTAAAGAGGGATTGAAAAGCTGAATAAGCCTAGAAGCAGCCAAAATATTAAACCCATTAAATTTTTTATTTGTTTGTGGTTAAATCTGGGAATTTGTTCATGTTGAAGATTTTTGTACTTTAAATCGATTTTATTATCAATCAGCATGTTAGTAGAGAGCAAGAATATTTAGATTGTTGCTCAACTAATTATATTAATTAGATCAATTTCTTAGGATGCTTCTTACAACACATCAGTTACATATTAATTAATTATTATTGGCTTCAAAGTAGGATACCAAAGCTTATTTTTTTATTTTAAAAATGGCTTTATCCTGAAAACTTTTCAGAGAGTACTTTATACAAAATATTTGTTACCTCTGTCAAGGGTCTAATTAGTTCGCCTAGGTCTTTGAGAATTAAATAACAAAAAGGATTGCATACTTAGCCAATGATTTTTATTTTCAGTGACATGGAAACCCTTGTGCATTTGCTCAAAGGCTCCCTCGGCTCGGGCATTCTGGCCATGCCCATGGCCTTCATGAATGCCGGTCTTTGGTTCGGTTTGGTGGCCACCTTCGCGGTGGGCGCTCTCTGCACCTATTGTGTTCACATTTTGGTGAAATGTGCCCACATTTTGTGCCGGCGCCGCAAGATACCCATGATGGGGTTTGCCGATGTGGCTGAACAGGCCTTTCTCGACGGACCGCCCTCGCTGAATCGCTGGTCGCGCTTTATACGATTTATGGTGAACTCATTTCTGGTGATCGATCTGTTGGGCTGCTGCTGCATCTATTTGGTGTTTGTGGCGACGAATGTGAAGCAGGTTGTGGACTTTTATATGGAAAATGAGCTGAGTGTGCGGCTGTGGATTGTAATTGTGACGGGGCCATTGATATTCATGTGTTTGGTGCGGAACTTGAAATTCCTGACGCCCTTCTCCATGATCGCCAACATATTGATGTTCGTGGGCATTATCATAACTTTCATCTATATGTTTTCGGATCTGCCCGCACCTGCAGAACGTGATGGTGTTGTCAATGTGGTGCAATGGCCGCTCTTCTTCGGCACCGTCATATTCGCGCTGGAGGGCATTGGTGTAGTGATGTCGCTGGAGAACGACATGAAGAATCCCACACACTTCATTGGCTGCCCCTCGGTGCTGAATCTGGGCATGGGCGTGGTCATTGCGCTCTACACGCTGGTCGGTTTCTTTGGCTATCTAAAATATGGACCCGGCACTGAGGCCAGCATTACGTTGAATCTGCCGGTGGAGGAGAAGTGAGTGACTATATTGAGTGCTCTTTTTTTAAAAGAATTGATTGTAATGTTGATGTTTTCCATTCTACAGATTGGCACAGTCGGTTAAGCTAATGATTGCCATTGCCATATTCTTCACCTTTACGCTGCAATTCTATGTACCTGTGAGCATTCTCTGGAAGGGTATTGCGAACAAGATTGCGCCCGAGCGTCAGAATGCCAGCGAATATGGTCTGCGAGTGTTCCTGGTGGTAAGCGAAAAAGCGAAATTCTTCAGCAATATGATACCTAACATGAGTTTATTCCGTCTTACAGATAGTCTGCTGTAGCATTGCCGTAGCGCTGCCCAATCTGGGGCCGTTCATCTCGCTCATTGGCGCCGTCTGCCTCAGCACGCTGGGCATGATTGTGCCCGCAATCATTGAGTTGGCGGTGTATCATGAGGATCCCGGCTATGGGAGGTTCAACTGGCGACTGTGCAAGAACATCGGCCTCATACTGTTTGGTATTGTGGGCTTTGTGACGGGCACCTATATCAGTATACTCGAATTCCATGCCGAATTCACTGGCGGCCATGTGGGTGATCATTAAAGTCGAATGCCAGCCTCCGTGCAAATTGACAAATTACGCTAATTTAATTTAATAAAAACTAAAACAACTACTTTTAAAGAAACTCTTCTAAGCACAGGGATGTCTAAGTTAAGTTTTTAACTAATTTTAGGGCTAACCAAAGTTTTGTAAGATTTTTCTTTTTGTTTTTTTATGGTTTTTCGTTTAATCTTGCCACCCACCCCCCTCTCTCTCTATATATATTATGTATATTTCCGGAGTGGAGCGTTACCCGAAACAAAGAAACAAACACACACACAAACAAAGTATTTGTCTAACCATTAAAGATATTTAGAGAATTCTTGTAGACGTGATTTTGTAAACGTAGTGATTTTCTTCAAAACAAACGCATTTCTGTTCTGGCTCAATTGGCCAGCCCGAATGCAGGTCCTAGTTTTAGTAGTTGTAGTAAGGATATTTGCCACATATAACCCACCATGTAGGGGGGGTTCATTGCGACAAACGAGCACAAATTTTGCGCAAAATGTGCCACAAGCAATTGTTTTCATTTTTCTGTTTGAAACCATTTTAATCTGTCTAATTTTAATCAATTAATTATATATTACGTGCATGCATATTGTTTACAAAATACAAAGACCTCTTGCATCAGTGCAAATAAAAAATTCAGGAAAAAAAAAACAAAATAAAGAAATTATTTTCAAAATCATTTCGTTGTTTTTAATCTGCACTTCCAGTGGAAGATTATTAGTGCATTCGGTATTTGGTAAGAGAATGACAGAAATTTCACAATTTAATTTCAAAATATTATAGTTTAATTTTTCAGAAATTTAACAGTTTAATTCTCGATTTGCCAGCGCTTAGGTACTTGGTATGAGAATCGCAGAGGAGGGTTGATTTAATTTATCAGAAATTTCACAATTTAATCTCAAAATAGCACAATTAAATTTTTCAGAAACTTCACAATTTAATTCTCGCTTTGCCAGCGCTTAGGTACTTGGTATGAGAATCGCAGAGGAGGGCGCCCACAATATATTTATTTAATTTATCAGAAATTTTACAATTTAATCCCAAAATATTATCATTTAATTTTTCAGAAAGTTCACAATTTAATTCTCGATTTGCCAGCGCTTAGGTACTTGGTATGAGAATCGCAGAGGAGGGCGCCCACAATATATTTATTTAATTTATCAAAAATTTCACAATTTAAATCTACAAATTTAAAACTAACTATTAAGTAGAAGTAAGTGTGATTTATTTATGATATGTCTATCAGCTTAAAAAGCTTCATTTTTGAATACAACTGTATTTTTTGTAGAGGCCTTGACATATATTTATTTATTAATTAATTAATCATGCAGCCATTTAATAAGTAGAATAAGATTAAAATTTGTCCAACAATTCAATAAATGACTAAGACTTAATGAAATTATTCGGATATGTTTTTTTTTTAAAAAACATTTTAAATAAAATAAGTAAATTGTTTGAAACATTATTTAGCTTAGGTTTCAAAACATGAACGGGAAGCAAGGTTTTAATAATAGTTTAGATATTTATCATTAACTTAACTTAAAATTTTGTATACATATTTTCTCAGTTCTAAAAGGTCTTATGGCTTTTAAATGAATTCTCTGGTCACTTAATGGCAATATTATACTTTATAATGGAGGACATATGTATTAATTATTAATTATGCAGTTTTTAAAAAAAAAATCATATACAAGCACCATCGCATACAATATTTAAGCTCAGACAGCTACCATTTTCGTCTTTTTTTGTTGTTGTTATTTTCACCTTACTCACCACAGCGTTCAGTTAAAAATTAAAAGCTGTTGCATATTTTTGGGATGAACGGACACTTAAAAATTTCTGGCACGAATAGAAGCGATATTGTTATATATACTTGTATATGTATTTAATGAGCTTGAGGACAAATAGAAAGCAGAAGAATTTCAGCACCCACAAAATCATACACATAAATATATAGAAAAAATTTAGGATAGAGATCAGTAGCTAATTTATAAAAAAAAAATGAATAAATAAAATCAAAAACTCGACCAAACTATAGTTTTAAAATAATAAATTTAAATTTAAATTGAAGAGTTTTTGTTTGATCAGCCTCTCTCTGTGTTGTCGGATAGAATAAATATTATAAAAACAAATAGGAGTAGCCTTTTAAATTTTTCCATAGATTTAAACTTTTCCTAAATGACTGATTGATCATTTTTTCTTAATAACAATTTTTACATAGTTTTTCAACTAATAAAAAAATATCATCCACAGAATAGCAGCTTTAATCGTTTTCTTGTTGTTTTTTTTAAATACTGTGGTAAGATATTGTAGAAATTATCAATGTGATATTTTGCAGTAAATGTTTGGGTATTTTAATAGTTATAGTTTCGTAAATATATGAATCAATTAAATACTTTTTGAAATGCAAAATAAATATTCTTGAAAAGAAGAAAATGATAATGACAAAAGTTTCGGTTTCAATCTTTACAGTGAAGTTATTCCATAAATAGGTAGATTGGGTTGTTTTATCTATAGCTCGAGTTTAATGTATTTTTTTTAAAAGTATGTATAGTTTTGAGTATAGGTTAATTTTTCTGAACGGGCTATAAAATATTTATATAAAGCCAATTAATCGATTATGTGACTTATTATGAACGCAACTTCTGGTGGAATGCGATATAAGCTGAAATAGTTGTTAATTGGCAAAGCCACACAGAAATAGCTGCTGTTTAATTGCAAAATATTCTGTGTGTGAATCATATATCTAATTCCGTATTTCTTGTTTAATTAACGAGAGCTTTACACCCACTTATTGAACATTGAATTTAACTTTGTTGACATTTCCCAGCACTTCTAGAGGCAATGATTTTGTCACATGTTTACTCGCATTTGCGCTAAGCGCAAACAATCGAACACTTGATGGTAAACACCCGCTTGCCAATCGCGCCAGCAACAGCAACATCACCTCAAAATAATAATAACAATTGTAAGATTTGTGTGGTTTGTTGCAAAAATTGCAATGCGTTCCCACGCTTTTTTATGACACCCAGAACCGAAATCAAATTAATACTTGTATGTGATATAAAACGTTGAAAAATGAAACGTTGATAAGATATTTATTCAGGTGCTGCTCTTTAGTTCGTTCATGTTATTTTTATTTTGTGTAATCACCCACAAAAGTGTTGGCAAAAAGGGAAATGTGCAAACGCGATTTAAAAGTCAGAGGCAGAAATGAAAACTGAACCGTGAGAAAATTACACCCACAGATAAGAACAGACGAAGCGACAGCGCTTAGCGCTCAGCGCTCGGACGGAACTCATATAACACAACGAGTATCCATAAGATACGCAGCGATAAGCAGCGCGTTTTGCATTGTGACGTAACGAAGAAGTATCTGTGTATGTTTACAATTGTAAAAAAAAAATATTTACCAACAAACAGGGCAAGGCGAGACGAGACGAGACGTGGCAAGGTAGGACGCCCAGTTGAGTGAGAGTTTAAAGTTCGTGCAGTCGAAATTGTAGTTGGCAGATACTTTTGTAAATATATACATACACACACACACACACACACACACACAGTAGAACGAGCCACAGGCCAGATAAGCGCAAAGCGTGTGAATTTACGAAACCAATCAGACAAAAACTGATTGAACAAACGCCACATTCAGCATTGAGTGGGTTAAACATGCGCATATGAATAACATCGTTCGATATACTCGTATGCAAAAAGAATGGGGTTTATGTACGAAAGCCACAGTGGGAACAGTAATGCGGAACTGTGGCGTGAAAATTGAAGACAACTTTTTATGGAAGTGGTAGAAATAAACAGTCCTTGAGCTATATTTTTCAACTATTCAATGATGTGGCCTGCTATTCTCCCCTTTCCCATTGACCGGAAAGGCATTTAGCAGAGTTGGTATTTGGGGCGCCATAGCAATCAATGAAAGGCAATTCAGCCATCAGGAAGCTCTATAAGTACGCTTAAGAAATAACGGTAAAGACTAATCACTCAGCCATCATTCATTGCACATTCTAAATAAATACTTTTCTCATTATTAAAAATAATAATGTAAAAATAAAAGTATTGTTCAGCAGAATACATTTTTAAATATTTCACTTAGCTATAATGTTCACCGCATCACCTGCGCAGCTCAACATACATACATACATACATAAATCTAAGCTACTAATTTGGACTCTTTGTGGCCTTTGAAACCAAATTTGTGGCGTTGTTTCCAAGAAAACATTGAAGAAACATTATTATTTTGTATTAAAAAAATAGTACATTTCATATGTCGATAACTTCAGTAAAGATTGTTGTTTGTTATCTTATTTAAGGCGAAGTCGAGGATTTTACATCTATATTTTATTTATCAGGATCGAAGGTTTTAACACGAATAAGAACTTAATGCCTTGTTTATATTCTTTATAGGTTTTCAATTGCTTTTCTTATGTTTTTGCCTGTTGAACTATTTTCAAATAATTTAAATTCAAATATAATGCCAAGCAAATCTTAATAATGTTAATTAATGTTAAATATTGTTGAATAAAGTTAAATAATGCTTGGTAAATATATTAATATTTATTTCAAATTGCGGCTTTACATTTGAATTATTTGCCATTATTTGTAACGTAACAATTTTATGTTTTTTTTTAATTTTTATATCAATTTTTAATTATAATTTAAATATTAAGATTTGCTTTATTTTACATCCATGCTGTCATATATTCGGAATAGGGGAATGTAAAAAGATAATACCTTATAGTAAGGTATTTATATTATGAATAACAGTATTATATGTGATTCTGAATTTTAAAATAAGATCAGATTAAAATTAGCTAAGAATGTAAAAGGATCCGTGTAAGCTTGCTCTAAAATACATAACTGCTTGGTAATATTGAAAAAAGCTTAAATAAAAATCATGTCATGTCAATGTCTTTAGTCACCTACCTCTTGAACTAGAATACGATTTGTGAGTCTCAATAAAGTTCTTGTATACTCCTTTATACTTGTATTTATCTATTAAGGACCATTTACTGTAACTTATTTTATAGCCGAACGTGCCTTTTTGCCTTTCACAGTTCAAATTATTCTTGTTTACTTTTCCGATTGATAATTCGCAAGCATCTGAAAAATTGCCCAAATATACTTGTATATATATATATACATGAGTGCATGTGTGCGTGTCTGACCCGTCTTGATTAACCTTTGGCTGATTTCGCGCGCGCGCGCCTTCTGGTTCTCGGTTGTGTGTTTGTAGTCGTTGGCCAAAATGCAGGCATAAATCTAACATGTCCCAACTTAATTTTCGATTTTAACTACCAACTAATTTGCAATTTATGTCTGGATGTGGCCAATAGACCAAGAGACCAGAGACCAGAGACCATGAGCCAGAGGCCACTGGAGTCAGTTGGCAGACAGTGAACGGCAGGCGGGAGACGAAACACGGGAGGCGGGAGACGGGAGACGACACACCGAATCGATTCGTTGCGCTTTAATTCCTTTAACTGAATTAGCAAATGTTTATTGGCTGCCCAATGGCCAGTGACGGTGATCGATGCTCAGATAAATGCATTTTATTAGTTGGCTACTTACGGCCAGCAGCTTAATGTCATTCAAACAATGTTTCGGCCATGTTTATTGGGATTAGCTGTGGGGCAGAGTTATGACCAATTTGTCGAAAGCA